CTGCTCATACTCTCGCTCTCTCTCTCTCTCCCCCCCTCTCTCTTTCTTTCTCTCTCTCTCAAATAAATAAATAAATAAAAAGAGAGGTTTTTTTAAGCAACTTCAAAGGATTCCATAGAGCGGATTTATCTTAATTTATTTAAACAGTTTACTATTGATTCAAAATTTCGTTGTTTCTCATTGCTGCCCTCACACACAGTACTACTGTTAAATAAATAAACTGAGGCATATTAAAACATTTTAAGAGTTTGAGCAAAAATCAGTTCAAATCAAGCAGCCCCAGACAGGACATGGTAAGTAGAAGGATTTCACTGACGGGATCTCTGGGAGACTTTTATAGAGGGCGCCTGGGTGGCTCAGTCGGTTAAGCATCAGACTCTTGATTTCAGCTCAAGTCATGATCTCAGGGTCATGAGATGGAGCCCCCCTTGGTCCCTGCAAGCCCAGAGAACCCCACACTGGGCGTAGAGCCTGCTTAAGATTCTCTCTCTCTCTCTCTCTCCTTCTCCCTCTGCTCCTCCTCCCCTCCCTCTCCAAAAAAAAAGAAAGATGGAAAAGTAGCTTAAAGTCTAGTTTCATGATTGGTTGTCCTCAGGTTTCAATGTCGTAACCTTGAAGCATTTTCAGGCCTGGATTTTGGTCGGTTTATGTCGCCTCCGTGGCACCCTGGACACATCAGTCTAATGGCCTCCTTGCTTTATCCATTTAACAATGTAATCCATTCTGCACAGGTCGAAGCCCTGTACCCGAAGCCCAAGTACCTAGATGAGGAACTGCTAGAAGGGATGGAGCAGAGTGGATATTGGGGTTATCTAGACCTCTCTGACTCAGTTGAGATCGGGTAATATTGATGAACTAATTTACAGAGATTTGACAATTTCTGATAACTTCCTATCCAAAAGCTTAATGTGTCTGTGTATTCAGTTTTTCTCTTGTGTCCTTCGTCTTCAAATTTCCTTCGTCTAAGACTTCCACATTTCTTATTTAATTTTATTCCTAGCTGTTTTCTCTTTATTTTTGTTCCTGTTAAGAATGTGGTCTTTTCTTTATACTTTATCTTCTGATCGTTGTTTGTATGTGCAAAGCCCATTGATTTTGATATGTTAATTGTATTAACTGTGTAAAAATGTTTCAGTTAATTTGCTTAGGTTTTCTAGCTTATAATTATATCACCTGTAAAAACTAATGTTGTATCTCTTCCCCTCATTTGTTTTTCTTGCCTCACTGAATTAACCAGGATCTTCAGTAAAATATTTCAAGTGGGCACCCTTGTCTTGTTCCCCACTTTAGTGGTAATATTCTTTTCAATTTCCTTAATCAGGGAGTCTGGAATAGAAAATTCCATTGTTTTCTGATTTGTTGAAACTGAAAGTAAACACATACACACTTTAAAGCATTGCTTTATTAGAAATGTTTTGTGTGATGTAACTATACAATCATCCCATAACAAAAAGATGAAATGGGTAAACCTGATAAATTTTTCTATCATCTATATCCCAGAAGCAAAAAAAAAAAAAAGTTAAAGGTGCTCCATGATTTGGCTATCAGCTTTAATTTCGTGTAACAAAAAGTAAAATTTATGAAGCAATAAATTATATGACAAAATCCAAAGATGAGATAAGGTGAGGATATTAAAAATAAAAGTACTGAATCATTCATACAAGAAGGCATTGACTAAGGGGCGCATTGTTGCTTTCTCGAATGCTTTCTGAAAAATACCAGTTGAATGAGGGTTTTCAAGAAAATCTGCCCATTACCAGGCAGTAAGTGGTTGTTCCTGGCGTGGCTTTCGTGGTGGACTGAGAATGAATGGTTGGCTAGGACACGGGGTGGGGGGCAGTGCAGAGGGGGGTTGGTCTGTTGGAACCTGTCCGAGCTGAGCTAGAGCTAATGGTTACAGCATAGTGAGGCTTAGCTGGGGGCATGGAAAGCTGAGGTCTCCCTAGCAGGATCCCCAAGGTGACCATGTGTTCTTACGTGAGCCAATAACCTCCTTGGCCCGAGGTCTCAGAAAGACCTTGAAGGCACTTCAGGAAGAGCGGCAATGAGATGCATTCCACCTGTGTCTGACCCCCACTGTCACCGCACCCCTCCCCAGCTCCGGGCCTTGAGGAGAGTTCGTTGGTCTCCTAAGGCTCTGTTTTGTCATCTACAGACACCTACCTCATAAGGCTGATTTGAGAATTCAATGAGATAATGCACCTGCGACTCATTCTCTCACACCGCGTCACGGTGACAGCAGACTCCACGTCACCATTTTCAATCTGCACTGTGGCTTGTGGTCTTGACTATCTCCGTAAAAGCTTCAATTCGTTGCTCTTAAATTCAACCCTGGCAAAAATTGGCCCACATTATGGTGTGGGATACACAATCCTGGGTCTTCCAAGGTCACGGTGGCTGAAGAGGGCACTTGTCCTGAGGAGACCGTGTGGCCAGAGGATACGCCCTGGCCTTTAGCAGGCTTCCTGGCTGACTCTGATACCAGCATAGACTAGGGAGGGGTTGCAGCATGTGGTTAAAGCATCATTCACCTGCCCCAAAACTTAAGACTTGTTCAAGCAACTCAAAGAGGAATCGAACACACTGCCTAACCATAGGTACCAGACAACTCTCATACGGCGTTTACTCACAGCTTCTTATTAGCTTCCAGAATGTTCAAATACATCATGACCTCACAGAAATATTCATGATGGTGTCTGAGTAACACAAACCACTGGGTTAGTGACTGTTCAGATGTCTTGTGTCCGGGGGCCTCTTAAAAATGCATGTCAAAGTAGACATTCATTATTGCTGATACGGTCAATCCTGATTCTTGCCAAGTTTTGCTCCATTGGAATTAATTCAGGGATTTGAGGATTCCAAGTGCCATGTGATTAGTACACAATATTTTTTAGACATGATTATAAATAATTCACTAATTTGGCTCATTATTAAAAAACCACGAATTCCTAGAAATAAAACATACTTATTATTGAAATATATACAGTGTATATACATATTTTTAAATGCTGAAGATAAAACTGATGAAACACAGCAAATTCACATACTGTGCTTTTGCTTTGTTCCCTGGACGCTGGCCAGTTGCCGGCTTAAGCAGGGCATCTCTTTGAGGACGGAAGTACTGCCCAGCACGGGAAGCTTAGCAAAGCACCAGCTGCCTTCCGGAAATGACAGCGTGACTTCAGGAAATGACAAGAACTGTCCAGGGTCCACAGATCCTAATGAAAGCAGGACCATCACTATTCTTATAAGGATAAATGAGAACAGAAACAAACAAAAAACCCAATAAATCAATTAGCAGCACAAACACTAGCACGTAGTTACCAAGCTGGACACTGAAAATCTTGAGTCCGGTTGCTAGCACACCTATACACATGATGGAAATCCGTATTTGGACCGTGACTTCCCCAGAGAATGCAGGGCTGCCTAACACAAGATTGGTGGGATATTAATAGGACTTAAATAAAATCTATGATCCATTAAACTTGGGAAGTCTGGGTTAGACAAAAAAAAAAAAGAAATCAAGTGGGTTTCTTTACTGAGCTCTGTCCCAGTCAAATATGCTCATGTGCACTGTGGCTCTCCAACTGGAAATTATGGCATGGCAGATTTCCCAAATGTATTTGACTGAGGGAGACCCGTTCATTCAGGGAGCATCTCTCGGAGGCTGCCTTCCTCAGTGCAACTCAGAAGTGCTGCCTAATTGAACTTAGCCTGCATTACAGCTGCCACAGCAGGGAGGGGTCTACAATGCCCCACATTACTGAGTATTCACTGCCTTCCTGAGTATGCACTGCCTTA